TCTTATTGTTGATTAATTTTAAAGATGTCATTAAATTTTTTTAAATTTGCATTGGATCTATTACTAATTATTTTTTAATTTGCAATTATTTTGTTAAAACACATGTAGATGCCCAAAATGATTATTTTATAAAGCAGCAGCTCATTCAGGTTTCAAGTGTAATTAATTAAGTTAGACCTATTTTCAAGGAACATTTACAGTTGTTAAACTTTTGATGCTTTTTTGAACAGAAAATGGGTTATAATGTGTATATAGACCTGGTTATTACAAATTAATAATGAATGTACAATTATATAGATTATTAGATTTAGATGATTTGTGTAAGGAGGAAGTTTATTAGTTAGTTAAGTTTTCACTTTATTTGTGGATATAAATTTATTTTTGCTGATGAATAATGTGTTGATGGCAATTTAATATTTAAAAATGATGATATGCATGTTTATAAACTTGCCCTTACGTGGTTTGCTTTAGGAGTTGACAAGAAAATAAATTTGTATTTGGGAATAAATGTTGTAACCTAGGTATGAATTATTAAATAGATAACTACTAATTTTTAATTTTCAGTTCTAAGCATAACCTAGAACTTTGAAGCCAAATCTGATTAAACTAATAGAATTTTAAAAAGATCTTTGAGTTTTATTAGTATGTTTATAATCAAATTAGTTTGGTTTGGTGATTATGAATACAGTTTTTCCTAATATAACCTTAGAAATCACTTTAGAATGTTATTAGAGATAATTAAAAGCCTGTTTGTTTAATCAAATTATGAACTAATAATCAAGAAAATACATTGTTATATCAGTGTCTTAATACATTCAATCATTTAATAACATTTTCTTATATTTTAGATAAAATAATATTGAGAGAGGAAGAAATACTAATCAAATTATTTGAATAGTCCCTATTTAGGCAATGATATTTAAAATTAGTTGGAGATTTATGAATTATCATCGTAATAAAAATATTAAATATCTTCCATTAATTAAGATTTTATTATTATAATAATATTAAAGTTTGAATAAGAAGAGTAAGAAGTTTAGCCAAAGATTTTAATTATGATCAAATTATTGTCATCAAATATCCTATTTATTATGAATAAAAGAATATATCTTTAATTTTAGGTTATATTTTTAACATTTCAAAGGCTAACAAAGAACTAATACTGTTTAATTTAATTAAAAGTTTCTCCATAATAATTTTATCACTTTTTATGCTAAAATAAATGATGCTATTCAATTTTCAAATAACTTTATCTGCTCCTTTAATAATCATTATAAGGTAGGGCCTTTTATATGCAAATGAGTTAAAATAAATTCTTAATTATCAATTCCATTTAATTTTACTTACAGTTGAAAAAATTTTCACAAGCATTAGGTGCAAATTAATATAGATACTTGAGAAATTTTGTTATCATCAATATCAAAAACTTTATATATATATGTATCATTTAAATTCATAATGATATTACATTATCCCAAAGGTTATTTCATTATTTTCATATTTTAAATATTATATTTCTAAATAGAATGATTAATTTTACCTATAAAGAAATTATAGTCAAATACATAAAAAAAATATTAATTATTACAAAATATAAATCTTTTTTGAATTTCTAAATTAATTCAGTTCTAATTCATAAATCCTAAACCTTTCTAAATATCGAATTATCTTTGAGATCTGATTAAATTCCAATAAACTTGATTAAAATGTACAAATAATAATTATTTAGTATAGTAGTAAAATTTCAAAACAAGCAATTCTTAATTAAAAATATATTAATGAATTTAAGTTCTCTCTTAGAAAAAGATATTCGCAGTTGATATTAAAAAATTAAAGTTCAATATTTTACCTGACAATAATTTTCTTGTTTTTTTCTTCTTTATTCAATTTGATTAAGGACCAATGACTGTTTTAGATAAATCCTTCTAAGAAAACTTCGGACTTTAAATCTATATTATTAAGAATCTTGGTTAGAGCATGTTACGCAATAGCTTTATAACATAAGAAAAAGGGATCACAGATTAATTAATCTAGTCTATGAGCTAAAAAAAATAAAGATAGATTCTCTAGCATAGGTCTAAGATAAATAAATGGTAAACCTTTAACTATAGATCATGACATCAATTCAAAAATATAAAACCTAGTAGACAAAGTTAGGTAATTATAGAAGATTTCTTGATGTTTTGGAAGTGATTTAAAAAATATTATCATAATGATTTAAATTAATTAAATACAATTAACTTGCTTTATTAATTAGTCATTATATAATATTAAACTCACAGAAATCATCAGATACATTCTCATAGTTAATTAAAACTATTAATTTTGATAAAGAAAACTATATTAGATAGTTTAGTAGTGTAATAAATAACTCAGGTAGGATGGTCTATATTCATACTCAAGGTGTTTTTGTATTTCAGAAACCCTTTTGTAATAATCTCATAGATAATCTCTAAGAGTATTTACTCAATTCTCTTTAAAAAGCTTATAATACCAAACTTGATACTTGACTTTTGACTTAAATTAAATTACATCTAAACTTATAAAATAATTTGGTATGGATTATAACAAATCATAAATTTGTTACTTCAGAAGATATTGTTGCTGGTTATCAGAATAAATAAAAAATATGCCATCCTAAGAAAAAAACAGTTTAAGTAAATCAGTAAAAACTCATAGAGAAGAAAATTTTTTATTTTTAATAGTGCTACTTAATATGGTTAATGAATTATTTTCAATAACTTTTACCCAATATCAATTGGAAGCAACTCCAAATATTGGTCATTAAGCACTCCAACAAAAGTAGTAAAATTTTCATAAAATAATCTTATTTTGCTTCATATAGCTAGAAAAAAAAAATTATCACTTTTCATAGAGCTAGAATAAAAATATTATACTTTTTCTTTATAAATAATAGTTTAAAATCTTTAATTTATAAAACTAAATAAATAAAATAACTTTTTATTATATCTATGTATGCGTATAATAGCCGAATAATAGAGAATAACATAAAAAAATACAAAAAAATAAAAGGGAAAAGAATTTGAACTAAGGGAGAGTTAATAAAATTGTCTTTAAAATAACAAATTATAATTTAAATTTATTTAACTGATAAAATTTTCACATTTTCATTGCCAAACAACAGCACTCCTTTGACTATAGTTATTTAATATAAAATTAAATTTATCATTTCTTTTTAAGACTTTCTTTATTCTTCTTGTTTCATAATATTTTTAAGAATCTCAGTTTTTATTCACTTCTTTTTCTCCATTTGCTAATCAATAATAAGCAATAATATTATTCTAATATGTTTCTCATGTGATTTTATCTTTAGGGAAATCTTTAAGCATAAACCCATAGAAGACAGCTAATAAAAGCTAATAGAATTTTTAATGAATACAAAGGAACCCGATCAATCAAATCTCCTCTCATAATATCCTTTATCCAATTAAATCATAGCATCCTATACCTCAAAAACTAATATAATTTTGCATC